AAACAGCACAGATCTCTCTCCTGTCAGCGGGGTTGTGCCTGTTTTGATCTCTCAAGAAACCAGGGAACGAAAACCAGCACATCCCTAGTCAAACAGTACACACCCATAACACTCCATAACACACAGTTAACCCTTTGATCGGCCTAGATGTTAACCCCTTCCTGCCCAGGGCCATTAGTACAGTGACAGTGCTTTTTATTCACACTGATCACTGTATCAGTGTCACTGCAGAAGTCAGTGGCAGTTAGCTCCCACCCTGTGTCAGTTAGTGTCAGAATGCCTGCAGCACGATTGATAGCAAAGAGTAAAAAAATATTGTTTTTAAACTGTTAGGTCTTTTTTTGTTTATAGCGCAAAAAAAAAAAAAAACCCAGTGGTGATCAAATACCATCAAAAGAAAGCTATTTATGTGAAAAAATAATATACATTTTGTTTGGGTAGAGTGTTGCATGAGCACTCATTTTTCAATCAAAGTAGCGCAGTGCATATTGCAAAAAATGGTCTTGCCATCAAGGGGGGGTAAATTTTTCAGAGGGCAAGTGGATACATACACAAACAGGATTTGATTTGCTATAGGAGATGCAAAATCTGGTGCAGCTCTGCATAGACACCAATCAGATTGCAAGTTTAATTGTCAAAGCTTAATTGAACAAGCTGAAGTTAGATGCTGACTGGCTACCATGCACAGCTGCACCAGATTTTGCACTTCCCAGGTTTAGTAAATGATCCCCGCAGTGAGATGAGAGGTCATTACCAGTTATGACAGACTGGGAATGTGAGGGATTTTATAGTCTGGAGGAATCCAATGCCTGATTAATTAGTGGAAAATAAGGATCTTCACCAGTGGGCCTTGACAGTGATAATCTTGTCCTTTGTTCACATATAGCAACAGACATCACAGGCCAACGTTTCAGGACTTTGCAGAATCCCTTTTTCAGATGCTCTGCCTTGAAAACGCAATCCTGCGTGGTCCTGAAATATCAACCTGTGATGCCTGTTGCTTTACTTGAATAAAGGACAAGATTATTACTACAAAAAATGTTACATTTGTGGTCTTTTTTCAGGCCCTTCCTGTTTTTTTTATTTTTTTAGCCTGTAGCCCTGTCATTCTACACATGGAAACCAATTGTGTCTGAGGAGCCCCGAGGGCCCTTCACTCGCCCTAAGCCGCCGGGTTTTGCACCCCCATACCTGACCTCTGAAGGTTGCTCTCCTTGCGTGTGGCCTGAGGGGACCTGCCTGTTGGAACCCGGGGAGTTCATCATTGCCCAGTGCATACTGGTTACATTTTGTAAGTGAATACTGCCATTTTACATACCATGGTGTTCTGTAATCTGAATATCCACCATCTCTTTGAAGGATTACTTTGTTGGTACTATTTATACCGCTACCATCTTTTGCAATCATTCTATGTGGTTGGTGGGTTATGGGATATTAGCTGTCAAGTATATTTATCCTACCTAGATATATTGCTAGCCCCTGAGGAAGCGACGCCCGTCGCGAAACATGTGGGCGCAGCCTGCACAGCTTGAATATCCCCTACCTCTTTGAAGGATTACTTGGTTGGTACTATTTATACTGCTACCATCTTTTGCAATCATTCTATGTGTTTGACGGGTTATGAGATATTAGCTGTGGGCTAACTGTGCAATGATATCATACAAGATACATTTTAGAGATGATGTGATGTCAATAAAGGAACATTGATTTTATTCTTTCGTGTACTGAGTTTCTGTGCCTAGAAAGTCCATTTTCATATTCTTCCTTCCAATATCAGTACACCAAGGTGTTCTGGTGAAGATTTCCTATGATTGCATGGTGGTACAATTAACCAATGCACTACAGCACCCTTCACAAACTGTGGGTGAGTGTGCAACGACAGATACAACACAACGTCTCTGTGATCAGTCACGTCAGACTTGGGGATCCTTGAGGGTGTTAAAAAAAAAAAAAGAAAAAAAAAAAAAAATAAAGTAAAAAGCAAAACGCAACCTGAAAGAACAACAAGTGTGTGGTGGCTCCTTACCAGTCTGACCGCCTATGCTATGGCACCCTATAATTGGAAAAAAAAAAAGGAAACTGCAGGCTTGGCAGACTGTGGAGTCAAAGCCAAAGAAAGGCTTGTGCAAGAAGAAATTAATTTTGTTGTGGCAGCACTCCATTGTGAGGATAGAATAGGAGAAAGTTAAATCCTCTTGTCGGATTTTACTGCTGGTGTAAATGTTAGGGATTTTACATTTCCCTTTCTGTCATAATAAAGTGAGAAAGGGGCTCTTTTTTTGCACAATTACTGCTTCTCTCCCCATACAAGGCAATGTGAATACAGAAGCAGGTTGATGCAGGCAAGGAGGTTGTCAATGGAGGTCAAATGCCCCCATCAATGACTTCTCCATCTCAAAAGCATCAGAAAGAAATCTGAATTGCTGATTCAAACAAGCCCTAAATTGCAGTGAGAAAGTACGAAAACCTTCCTCGCTCTTTGCAAAGATTTGATTTAAAAAAATTAAATTTGGACAAACTCAAAACGATCATGTTGGTTTGGCGTTAGGGCCAGTTCACACCAAAATCACACAGGAACGCGATCTTCATTCCTGTGCGTTCCCTGGCAGTGCCTTTTTGCAGCCAACTCATTTGAATGGACAGGAAAATCACACCAAAAGTACTTTTAATAAAAAGCACTGCAACAAATCCCAAGGTACCCATAGCAAATCACAATGGCAGTACATTTTGAATGCGGCGCGAGAAACACCACATTGTGGTGTAAACTGCCCCTTACTGTGGTGTTCTCCTTCACAGAGTTCTGTTGCTCCATCTGTGAGTGCTTGTTTAGTGTGTGCCGATCAAAAGAACCTGCACATAGGATGGTCAAATGGTGTAACCATCTTAAAAGAAACAGGAACGCCGCACACCAAGATGTAATAATCTTTCTTTATTAAAATAGTCAGCAGGAACAAATTCTGTTCTGAGAAGTTCCGCACTAGGCATAGCGCTTTCTTAAAGTGAATACTTTGAGAGTGAGTCCTTTTATTTATCAACTGAAGGATGTTGGGCAGGAGAGGGAGACAAGGAAACCCATGAAGCAAGCGTCTAGCAGAACTAGGGTTGTTGGCTCACCTCCACTCTATGACTTCACAGATACTGCTCGGTCAGTAAATGCCTTTTGTCTCTTTAAAGGACCATGTGGAGCTCATGTAAGGTCTTGGATCAATGTACACAGCTTCCGTTAGTCTCCTTCCATCAGAACCACTCCTCCTCATACAAACAAACTTGACATAGTGCTTTATCCTTTAAAACTTTGCGTCATCAACAGATAAAATTTATACTCACTTGTAGTAGGTGCTAAATTGCACCAGATGTAAACAGCTATGTAATGCTATACCGCTGATGAGATTGCTACATTCGCTATCCCAGTTGAGCGCCCTGATATCATCCAAAGCCAACGCATTTCGTCACCACACACATGACCAACATGGGGAAGTTTGCATGTTCTCCCTGTGCCTGCATGGGTTTCCTTCCGGTACTCTGGTTTCCTCCCACACTCCAAAGACATGCTGGTAGGTTAATTGGCTCCTGTCTAAATTGGCCCTAGTATGTGTATGTATGAATGTGAGTTAGGGACTTTAGATTGTAAACTCTTTTAGGGAAGGGACTGATGTGAATGCACAATATATATGTAAAGCGCTGCATAAATCGACGGCACTATACAATTCCCTTTAACAGATAAACATTTCTGGGATCTATGGATGCTCCTCATGGTGTAAAAGTGCATGCTGTGCATGCAGGGGCCTGGGGTGCCAACTACATAGTCTGTAGAGCATGTTGCTTATGAACTGTTCACATTAAACTGTAACCAATTATATAAAAATAAATTAAAAATGCAAACTTCACTGTAACATAAAGGGTGTCCCTATGGAACAAATTTGTCTGTAGTACAATAATTCCTAAAGCAAGTATGTAGACATGTGAAGGTCACATAAAACAATAAGATAAACTTTACAATGATAAAACAAAACATCTACTTTCCTTTTAGGCCAGGAAATCATTCTTTTACAACCCACTATTCTCTCCTGAGTAATCGTATGACACGAACCTGCAAAATAATGCAATCTCTGCCTTTCAAAGTCTGAACGTGGTGAATGAAAAGTGAAAGCAAGATCAATTTCATTCTTGGACCATAAATGAGCTTTAAATCAAATTTACTCCAATTTATAGAAGGAATTGTATAATACCTACACTTGCCCTTAAATCCAAGGCAATGGAAAAAATGTATAGACTCATTGTGAAGGAAAAAAATGAGCTAGTGTAGATAATCACTGGATGTGCAGTCAGCAGAAGTTAAAGGAGAGCTGTCATTTTGTTGTAGACAAATGCTGCAAAAGGAGGATAGGAAGGAAAATATTGCAATGAGATTAGGTGGTATGAGTGGCAGAGGTGTTCTGGAAAAAGCTAGTGAAAAAGGGAGCCAGTAAGAGATAAATGGAGAAAGACGAAACACAAAAAAAATTAATTGAAATGAAGTATCTAGTCTAACATCAATTCATTGTCCAGTTTTCTTTTTCTAGCTCCATCTATCTTCCAGCCAGCCAGTCAGAATAGCAATGCCAGTCACATCCAGCACTCTGCATAACAACTAAGCCGTTTAAAGGAAAAATTCAAGTAGAAAAGGAGGAGAGCTTAATGTGAACCCGAGGGTAAATTACAAGGGTAGAAGGATACCAAATGGGCAAGGAATATGAATATAGGTGGCTGGATATAGAATGGAGGAATATAAAAAAAGGTGCAAAGATCAAGAATATGAATTAGGTGGGATGATATAGAATAGAAGATGAATATGAATTAGGTGAGAGGAGATAGAATAGAAGAGGGATATAAATGAGAAGCCTGGATGCTGGAAGGAGAGTGATGCTCAACTTGTCTCTTTAAAATTCCCCATAGGTGTTGGATTGGGTTCAGATCAGGAGACATACTTGGCCATTGAATCACTGTCACCTTGTTCTTCTTCAGAAATGAAACAGTGGCCTTAGATGTATGTTTTGGATCATTGTCATGTTAGAAAAGTGCGCAACGAACAAGGGCACGGAGTGATGGTAGCATCTTCTCTTTCAATATAGAGCAGTACATCTGTGAATTCATGATACCATCAATAAAATGCAGCTCCCCAACACCAGCAGCACTCATGCAGCCCCACAGAAGGACACTGTAGGACTGTTTCACTGTAGGCACCATGCATTTTTCTTTGTACTCCTCACCTTTGTGACGCCATACAGTTTTGAAGTCATCAGTTCCGAAAATATTTATATTAGTCTCATCACTCCAGAGTACAGAGTCCTAGTAGTCTTGTTTTTCAGCATGGGCCCTGGAAAACTCTAGGCAGGCTTTTTTGTGCATGGGCTTTAGAAGAGTCTTCCTTCATGGACGACACCCATGCATGCCATTCCTCTGTAGTGTACAACGTATTGTGTCACGGAAAACAATCACCCCAATTTGGTTTTCTACTTTTTTAGCGAACTGCAGTGAACTTGCATGGCGATTTTCTTTAACCGTTCTCCTCAGAAGATGCTCCCATTGAAGTGCTAACTTCCATGGACGGCCTGGACATTTCTGTGAGATGGTTGCAGTTCCATCTCTGCAAAATTTTTGTATCACTTTTGCTACAGTATTCTGATTGATATGTAAAGTTTTGCTGATCTTCTTGAAGCCTTCACCTTTCACGTGTAAAGAAATTATTTTCTTTCTCAGGCCTGGTACCATTGCTGACAGCATGAAATGGGAAGGGATTTTCTTTGTCAAGTAATAGCCTTTTACAAACAACTGTCTGCTGGACACCTGCTTAATGAATAATTAGACTTACCTATAGTTGAATTCTTGTTAATTAGGATTTTTTTGTCTAAAATGTAGCTTTGCTCCTAAGATTTTCATTGGGGTGTATTCATTTTTGCAACATGGCCTTTAATTAATTTGTTAAAAAAAAATACTTTTTTGTGTGTGCAAATGAAAAAATCTTGTTTGCAATCAATGGCCCGCATTTGTGGGAGTATTTTGTAGTATAGTGTCCCATAGAAAATGTTGATTTTGAAAGTAAAGGTTTTCTGACAAATATGTTGGGGTGTACTCATTTATGTTGAGCACTGTAGAATAGATGAAGAATATGAATGAGGTGGGAAAAAATAAAATTGAAAAGGAATATGAATGAAGAGGGATGATATAGAATAGAAGAGGAATATGAATAAGGAAGGATGATATAGAATAGATGTAGTATATGAATGAGGATGGATGATATAGAATAGAAGAGGAAAATGAATGAGGTGGGATGACGTAAAATAGAAGTGAAATATGAATGAGGAGGGATGATATAGAATAGAAGAGGAACTTTTTTTTTCTCTAATTTTTTGCTTTTTGTTTGTTTATAGTGCACAGCAGTGATTAAATACCACCAAAAGAAAGCTCTATTTGTGTGAAAAAATTGAAAAAAATGTCATATGGGTACAGTGTTGCATGACCGCGCAATCGTCATTCAAAGTGTGAGAGTGCTGAAAGCTGAAAATTGGCCTGGGCAAGAAGGGGGTATAAGTGCCCGGTAGGCAAGTGGTTAATATAAAATTGGAGGAATATGAATGAGGGAGGGCTGATACAGAATAGGAGAGGTATACGGATAAGGGTGGAATAATACATAATAAAGGAGGAATATAAATGAAAGTAGCATGATACAGAATAGACAAGGAAAATGAATGCAGTGGGATAATATACAAGAGCAATATGAATGACTTGAAACAATATACAGTAGTATAGAATGATCTGGAATTAAGAAGGAATAAGGAACATGAAGGTACTATAATATAAAATACTGTATAATAATAATAATAAAAGTTGGAATGATATGGATTGGGGGGATATGAATGAGTGGAATGTTACAGAATAAAAGAGGAATATATATGAAGGTGGAATGATACAGAATATAAATTGGATGAAGAGAGAAGGAATAGAAATTAGGGTAAAATGATACAGACGGTGAATATGAAAATTTAGGTATTATATAGAATGGATGAGAAATTTGAATGAAAGGTGGAATGAAACAGTATGGAAGAGAAATATGAATGAAAGTGAAATGCAGTATAATGGAGAAATATGAATGAGGTGGAATGATATAGAAAGGGGGATCAATATGAATAAACATTAAATTATATAGAATAGGAAAAATATATAAAAGAAAGTGAAAGAAATAGAATGGAATAGGAATGAAAATAGAATGGAAGAGAAAAATAAAGGCTGAATAGTAAAGTCTGGAAAAAAAATATGAATGATGGTAGAACAACATATAAATGTGGGGGAAAAATGAGGTGGATGATATGGAATGGGGGAGGAACATAATGAAGGGTGGAATGATACAGAATGGAGGAAAAACATGAATGAAGATGAGGGACACGGCTAGAGGAGGAATACAAATAGGTGTCATTTTCCTGAACTTTCTGTCCTGAATAAAATAATTTTGAAGTGGCGCGGAGTTTACACAGATAAATATCACAAGTCCTGGAGGGGAGAGCGCGCTTTTGGCTGAATCTGGCAATAATGATGTTATGCCACATGCAAAATGAATTAAATTCTGTCACTCAAACTCAGGAAAAGAAAAACAAACAGTCAACCATTTCAGGAACCACCACATCTAGTGATCTGCAGAGATTATAAATGTCATACTGCTCCATTTAATCCACACGTATCTCAAATTAAAAGGGCAGCCAAGCACACATCACTGATGCACCCACTCACAACACTCAGAGCTGAGATTTTTCAATTATTTGCATCAGTTCACAAATGCACACTATATCCCCCACCCGTACAATAAATTACACAAATTCCAGGTTTTTGAGATACTCTGTGATTTCATAATCATAAAAAATAATTGACAGCAAAAATGCACAGAGGACAAGTACAGGGGTTGGACAAAATTATAGAAACACCAGGTAAAAGAACATTGTTACCAAATATGGTTGTGGACCGCCAAGACGGCCTGAATTCTCCTGGGAATAGACAAATACTGTATAAGTCTTGGATGGTGGACAATGGAATCTGATACCACTCTTCATGCAAAAATCATTCCAGTTCTCGCAGAGATGCCTGAGCTGGAAAACGAGCCAGAATCTTGTTCTCCAAAAACTGACCATAATGGCTCTATGCCAGCAATGGGCAAACTACGGCCCGGCGGACCTTTTAATCCAGCCTGTGGAGCGTGATACTGTCAGGATGGCTGTCAGGATGTGTGTAGGCGGGGCAGCGTGACGAACGTGAGGGGAGCTAGGCTCCTCTCACAGTCCGCCCTGAAGACCGGAACGGCGCAGGAACACGGCAAGAGGAATGCGCGGAGCAAAGGTAAGTAAATCAATATGGGGAATTAATTACTATAGGGGGGATGAATTACTATGGGGGATGAATTACTATATGGGGGATGGGGGATGAATTACTATATGGGGGATGAATTACTATACGGGGGATGATGATTACTATACGGGGGATGAATTACTATATGGGGGATGAATTACTATACGGGGGATGAATTACTATGGGGGATGAATTACTATATGGGGGATGAATTACTATAAGGGGGGATGAATTACTATGGGGGATGAATTACTATATGGGGGATTAATTACTATGGGGGATGAATTACTATGGGGGATGAATTACTATGGGGGATGAATTACTATGGGGGATGAATTACTATATCTACTCTTGGTCCGGCCCCCGGGTCCAATATATGAACCCATTGCGGCCCTCAAGTCAAAAAGTTTGCCCACCCCTGGTCTATGCTATTGAGGTCCAGCGACTGTGTTGCCCAGGAAGGTGCGAGTTTGTCTGCATGCTTATCAAACCACAATTTGACAATGCTAGCTGTGTGAACCAGAGCATTATCATCTTGGTAAATGGTGCCATCTATGGGAAACAATGTCTCCACCATGGGGTGCACATTGTCAATCAAAATGTGTACATAGTTGCTGGCAGTGACTCTACATTGCAAGGTGATGATGGGGCCTGCAGAATACGAAGATATGGCTGCCCAAACTATGATTTCTCCACCACCATGCTTTACTGTTAGCACAAGACAGTCCTGGACGTAAGCTTGGGGTGATGTTTACCACACGCCCAGTTGTTGGGGACGGTGTGAAGCTTGATTCATCGGACCATATTACAGTCTTCCATGGATTGATAGTCCACGCTTTATGGGTGTTGCACCACTCTCTCCTCTTCTGAGCATTAATATCAGTCACTAGTGGTTTGGCAATTGCAGTTCACCCATGGACATGGGCTTTTGAAGACTGAGATTGAGCTCTGCAGTTTCTTTTGCAGTTGTTTTCTGATTTCTAGTCACAATCTTGTGCATTTGACCATGTCGACCGCACTTATGGTAATTAGACAATGTTTTCCCAGAAACTGTATATGCCGTCATACCCTTTGATACTGTACCTCACGACACAGCAAATAAATTGGCAACTTCAGTCACAGAGGCACCAGCTAAGCAGGACCAACAATTTGCCCTCTTTGAAACTCCCTAAGCTCTGACATGACTCTGTATTACTAGCAGCGCACGCAGTAATAAGCAGTTCATTTAATCAGTACAGTATTCGTCCGTAAAAAATCGAGTGAGCAAGATGACACGTTTAGAAAAGAATACATTACATTACACACAATACATTACTTTTGAAGTTGTGTTCTGATTTAAGAGGGTATTTGAAACTTTAGTAACCTATTGGTTTTCCAAAAAAAACCCAAAAAACTATACTCACCTCGGCTTCCAGCATGCCCGCTAACATCTTCGGGTGGATGGCTTCCAGGTCTCGATCGCCAGCCGCTGTCACTGGCTGGACAGGGATGACTCCAATCCCATGCATGCATGGGAGTTCAGTCAGATTCGGCATTGCTAAATGTGTAGTGTGCTGTGCGTGCGTGGCTCACCGTACAGGGTTGGACAGGCAGGTAAGTAACTTTAATGCAGAAGAGACATAGCATGTCTCTTCAGCATTAAAAATCCTGCATGTTCCCTATTTTATTCTTTTTACCTAAAGTTCCACTTTAAGTCAGGCTCTAAAATGAGCAGCACTGAGAGAACAGAGAGAAAAGGTGCTGTGCAGATACCAAAGCAATGGATCAGATCTCTTCAGCACCTTCCAACAAAAATGTATCTTATTCTGATATTTCAGACCAAAAAAAGATGCTCAGGTCACAGAGAACAACCAACTGGAGCATCTCCACTTACAGATAGGTAATGCTTACTTTAGAGCTTTGGGTGGATGGAAACATGGCAGATAACAAGCTTGATATATTTTTAATGGTGTTGGCTCCTGGACTGTCAACATGATCCTGGC